AAAGTTAAGCACAAGTGTAAGTCATGCTTCATTACGACCTGCAGTGTAGTCATTACCTGTGGAGAGAGAGAATTGATTCATGATCTTGCCTTTCAGGTGGTGGAACAGCTGTGTAATGTTGCATTGAATTCGTTATAGCTGTGTGTCACCCTGCAATATGAGTATCTGTAAAGCAACATGAATTATTAATGCAAAGAAAATGTTAAGACCTGAGATACGGGCAAGCGAGGTGGCACCAGGGTGGTAAATGCGAATGTTGAGCGCCCAGAGCAGGTTGCACATCTCATTCTTCATGTCTGCCGCCTCTGTGGCGGTGCGATCCAGCCGCAGGGTTTCTCCTTGAATGCATGGGCTTTATTTTTCTCTGTCGATATTGTCCAGGAGAGTCCTGGTCCATGGGAAGCATCCTGCCTGGCCCAGCACCCTGTCCTTATCCTGCTGCTTTGCAATGCTGTGTGTGAGGCAACTCGTGTAACCAAAAGCCTTTGAAAAGGGAAATGGGGTTTACAGAGAGGCCTGTTGCAAAGGGAATGGGATGTACAGGGAGAGTGCAGCCCTATCCACCCACGGATTCCCTTCTCGTTTAAACTGATATACATCTAGCATTATATGATGAAGTTCCTCAGGGTTTAAGAGAAATCAAGGCCCAGCCGGTGTGATTAATGCTGGGAATAAAGAGATTCGGAATTAGCCATTTATTCTGTGTGTTGTTACAGGAGAGTCACTCTTGACTGTCAGAAGAGCTTCTCTGGTGACAAGGCAGGTAGATGTCAGCTTTCAAGGAGAGCCAGCAGCCCTTTTGGGGCTCCACTTTGCACTGCCTGTGCCTGGCCTGTGCAGGTTTCAGGTCCTTGCAGCTCTAGTGGCAGCTCTCGCCTATGGTCAAGAATCAGATGGAAGAGGCAAAATTACAGAGGTTTGGACTGCCATTGGCTTTTAGAACCAGTGTGCAAATTCTATCATCAAATAACTACGGCTTAGCTCTGCTGATGGTCTCTACAAGTGCATCTACCCATGCAAATAGAAATGTAGTGAATGCAAGACAGTTGTAAGGAAAAATATTAAGATTGTTTTGTCTGTTCAACAAGGTGTGATAATAAAGAGGTTTTTTTTCACCTAAGTGTTTGTTAAGACCCAGCTACCATTTGTACCTTCTGAATATCTCCTCTGTAAGGAATTCTAGTTCCTTTCTCTCCACTGACAGCTTTCTAATTTTTAAATGAAAGAAGATGATTTTATAAAATTACTCATCAGATGGCTATTGTGCTGTATCTTTCCAGTTTGTCATTACATTTATAAGAGAAACTCTTACACAGTTATATTTTAATTTCAATATATAAGATTTTGGTTTTAGAATTCTCTTCACTGATAATTTTAAGGTCTGAGGATGTTTAATTATAACTCATCATTAATTGCTTTTAAATTAAAGACATGAAATAGGTACAATATGTTTTTGTGCCTCAGCTGACATCTGGTAGACTGATAATTCAGCACAGGTGTCTCTAAATTGGAGAGTCTATATTGCATAAGAATGAAATTGAAAGAGCGAAGGATTGGTTATTTCCCATCCGAACCTCAGAAAGTAGCATCGAGAAAGGTAATTTCATTTCAATGCTTGGTTAGAAACAGAACTGGTAAAGCATAAATAGAAATGGATGAATGGAAGTTTATGTGGGTTTAAAGGTAAATATAGAAATGTATTTAACGTGTGCTCCACCAGCTTCCATAGTGTTGCAACTCATTTAGTGAATTATCCTAATACCTGTATTATTGCTGTATTTTGCCTTAATCTGCCTCCCTTCACGGAACAGATGACTTATAGAATGACTGTTAGTATTGTGATTTGTTTGAAATTATTTGATCCATGGTGTCTGCCTAATGCAAGAGCTGCTTTCCACTCTTTTCATTACCAAAAGAGAACGTTTTGTCTAAATCAACAGATGAAAACATAAGCACAGATATACTAAGTTTAAAGGATTTATACTGTTGTGTTACAAAACAGTGTCAACTTGCAATATGACTCTTCTTAAAGATGAATAGGTTTCCTTGGCCGAGAAGCTAATGACATCCACAGCTCCCATGCCTCCCACACACATGTGCTACAAAAGGTCACAGATAATTTCTGGCTAATCGAGACCACAAAGAGAGAATTTATAATCGGCTTTAACGTATTTGGGAGCTAAAGTACATTAGTCCAGCATCAAAGAGAATGATTAAAAAACAGCATTAATAAGGCTGGACTTTAATTATTTCCGAGCACATAATTACTTTTCAGCAAGAAGTATGCTAGTTCTCTCCTTTTGAGCAAGGAAAGCCACCTACTAACATAAAGGGGTCAGTTATGGAGATGTTAAAAATGTATTTTGTCACCTCCTTAGCATCAATCGCCATACAAACAAAGTCGGTATTTGACTATTACTTAAATAATGAACTGTTCTCAGATTAAATGAGCGGAGTGTTGACAAGGATTTCCTGCTGCACGCTTTGGCTTTCCATTGCATTTTGCAGTAAGGTTACTCATTGCATTTAGGAGACATAAAATTCAGTAATCGCTTTTCCTTCTCTTCCTTGCTGACATAGGGGTCTACTTTCCCATCAGCATTAATGAGAGCTATAGGCATACAGCAAAGGGAGACCAAACGTTATCGAGCCTCTTGATCAAGTAAACTGTCTTTGCATCAGCGTTTTAGAGACTTCAGTCTCCCCGCTACCTCCCTCTTTCACCATGATTTATGGTGCTTTCTTACTCTGCTGATATTTAATATTTATTTATTGCATAAACTTTAGCAAAAATTTAGGCAAGCATTATAGGGCAATGTGTCACTTTCAAGGTTGGTATCTTAAAGATAATAAAGCAATCTTTTCATAACGAATTCTTGTGTTCATGGATGCAACTGTCAGAGTAAAATAAGAGTTAATATTCACTAAGTGTGAAGAGAACCTACAGTGTAACAACAGTGGGAAATGATTGTGGATAAAGGACACTTTTTGGTAGTCATAATTCTGAAAACTGCGTACCTCCCCTTCACTTTTTTTTCCTCTGATTCCTAGTCCACCAAATCAGATTCAAATCATTCAAATCACCAAATCATTTTTATCAGATTTTTCAATTTTTTTCCTCTGATTCCTAGTCCACCAGATTTTTCAGAATTAGTTTCTGGCACCTGAAAAGTATCTTAAAGTTATGGAAGAATTCTAAAGAATCAAATAGTGAATAAACTGATATGGCTGAAGTAATATTTCTGGTTGAGGGTTACATTTAACCTACAAAATCACAAACTTTCTGGAGAATATTGATTCAAACTTTCAGAAGATAACTGCAAATTATAACTATGCAATTTCGATACTGATTTATTTTTCCTTAGAAAGCTTACTGGTGTTATGTTTTGTTGGGTCTTTCCATAAGATTTTATTCTGTTAACTGGCAGTGAATCAGTATGTTTCTTCCTGTGGAAGGGCTCGAGACTTCAGTCTTTATTTATGATCCTGCAAACACAGCAGTAATATTTAGTCAAGAAAGTCGGCTATCCAGAGATTCAGAAGCAAAACTCCATTCCTTGCAGGTTTAGAATGAGATTATTGCTGAAACGGGGGAAACCTAATCCAGAGCTTGTCTAATACCATGCCCATAATTTCAGTGAAGAGCAGCTAGACCTGAAACGGGCAACATGCAGCAAAGCCAAACTCACAGCCCTGTGTATAATCAGTATATAACGTGAATTGCTGCGTGGTTATTGGGAAAATGGTTCAATCACTGATTTCCAGAGCATCTCACAAGGACATAAATACTAAAATTACTGAGGTTATTTTTAAGAGCTGCTTCACCATGCTGCAAAATCGTTTATGGGATCGACCACTTATGCTGAGATGTTTAATGCAGTGTGTGACTGGTGTTGAAATTGGAACTATGACCTATACAAAACGCAGTACAAAGGACAACTATTATAAAAACATACGTAAAATTAATATTCTTGCTCTATCCAAGAAAAGGATTTGTCCCTCTCTTTGCTGCTTTAGAGAAGTGTATGCTATTTGCCTTTGCAGATGCTGCTTTGTTCTCTTCTGGAGGTATGAAAAATCTATTAAAATGTGTACATACAAATAATTTTGGCTATTTCTGACTATCAATGGTTATTAAATCCATAGCGCTCTGAATTTTAGCAACCTCTTTCCTCTATACTGTGCTGAAACTCCCCCATGAAATTATTGTTACTACTCTGCATATGTCTTTATCTTTTCTAGCTGTATGTATTCTTTTTCAGAGGTAAAGTTGTGCTGGTGTGAGATGATGGGCAGCAAGTCATTTCAAAATATGCATATGCGTAGGGACACATTATCCAGCTGTCCTGTACTGTAAAGAATTGCATTCCAGGGTCCTTGTAGGAAAAGATACCACCTTTACCAAGGACCTCCACTTAACAATTGTTTGCAGTTGTGGCTATAAAATACTCTAATTTTTGATGTATAATTTTAGTTTTATGTACTTACAGTGAGTTTGAAACTATGCTCCTGACTGATGAATTAAGATATTCAGCTGTGGTTTCCAATGATGTCCAGTTCCTAAATTTACAGTTAAAATCTCATCATACCTCCTGGGTTATCTGTGTTTCTCAAATCCATACACTTGATGCAAACATCTTATGATTTTTTTTTTTTTAATGCAGTGAATACGCAGCTTAGGAACTCTGCATTGAATGTTGAACGACTAACATCGTGTAAAATAACAGAATTAGAGCTTTTAAAATGCCAATGTTTTAATACTCCGTTGTGCTTTGGAGTTAATGCATGTCATTTGCCTACATCTACTGCAAATATCGACACATACTGTTCATCTCTTTCATTGTTGTTTTTTTGTCTATTGTCCTTTTATGCATGAGAAGGTTCTTGTTTTCTACTCTGTGCTTGGCTGGATTTTTTTTTCTTAGTCCTGTGTTTGTACTGATTGCTTTTTTGCATGCAAATTACAGAATGTCATGGAAATGAGAAAGCTCTGAAAAAAGGGGAAAGATAATGCTGAGTTCCAACTGTCTTTTATTTGTGCGTAAGTGTGTAAAATATATGATGAAAATATTTTCAGTATGACGTTTGGCTTTCCTTCTGGTGTATATTTTTGATTTCCTAATGGAGTGGGCATTTTTCCCACTGGAAAATATGATGAATCTATTAATTATTAATAATATAGCTGCTGGGCACGAAAGACTTGCCTTCTAATCTATTTACAGAAATAAATAATTATGATATTGTGTCTTGTGCCCAAGTTAAACTGAAATTTCATTCTCAATGCAACTTTTGTTTACTGTGGGTGAAACCCTAGTCCTATTGAAATCAATGGCAACATCATTGCCTTCAGTTGGCCTAGGATTTCACTCTTGTTTCTAGTTTACAAATTTAGTTCCTTTACAAATATCTCAGCAGGTAGTCAAAGGTTTTAAGGGAAACTACAGTTCTATTTAAAATAGAATGGAATTAGTGTGTCAAAAAATGCGTATCCTTCTAAAGCATGAGCTTAAGTGGTTGAATTTAGAAATGTAAATTAACGTTTCATGGAGAATTTTCTCTTAACCAACTGTCGAGACATTTATTAGCCACGTTATTGCATCAAATGCTAGAGAGAATTTGGCAGTCTTTGTCTCCACTATTTCTAATAACAAAATAGAACAATTAAATTAAGTGGATAAGTATGGTTTATTGTGGGTATGCTTTTAGTAAACAAAGCTTTGATTCTTCATTTAAAAACAATAAAGCACTGGGCACTCTTTGATTCTTGTGCTAGATGTTTCTAATAGCCATACCCCCTAGGGAAGGTTTTGCTGTAATGTTGGAAAAACATGGCTTAAAATTGGTTGTTATAAACTAAAATTCCCCTCCCTGCAAATGTTTTTCTTGAAACATCCACAGGAATTTAATATACACTGTTTTTTTCCTCAGTCTTGTATATTCTTGAATTGTCTTTTTTTCCTCCATTTTCTCCGTTCTTAATCCTAGGTCCCCTTACAAAGAAACAGACAGATGATTTAGGTGATAATGACGGTGCTGAAGATGAAGGTATTTTTTGCCGCCAAACTGATTTGCATGACAAGGATCCCTGAAAATCTTTTTTCTCCCCTCTTTTTTTGACTTCTTGTCTTCTTTTGAAGAGTTTTTTTTTTAATTCCCATTTTTGATGTGTTTTGTCTTCTTGCTTGTTGTTATACATATATATTTTTAATTTTTTAAAAGAAAGAATGTTGTTAAGTTCTACGTTTTTATACAAAACAGTAATACTATTTAAAGAGGAGGGTTTTTTTGTTTTCTTGCAATGGACTTTTGCTATGTTGCATCCCACCTTTTGACTGATTTTTGTCCATACTCTTTGAACTAACACTCTTTTAAAGTTTCTCTGTACACCTTTTTGCATGTTTTCTAACCCTATGTATTTCACCAAGTACAAAGATGTTTCTTTTTCTTCACCAACTGATCTCAGTTTGCTAAACATATAAACTGTTGGGTTTATAAGGGGGAAAATAAAAAAAAAACTCTTAGAAAGTGTCTCTTAAGCAACTGAATTTCCCCAGATACAAAACCTTCCCCACTTAGATTGCCGTGAACAAATATGAATAGATGTCAGAATTGGCCACTGTCCCCTCCTGTGAGAAGGGACACGGCCCTGGGGTGGCATGACGCGTCCTCCTTTCTCCAGCACATAAACATGCTCAAAAGCTACTAACCAGAAAAAGCTAAGGCTTGAAATGTCGAGCATGTTATTTTATGAATTCCTTTCATTAATCACACAAGCTGTGCAGGTTTGATTTCTTTTTTTCAGTGCAATGAAAAGGATAACATGAGGTTCGTTTTTCTGAGCGGTCTCGTCCCTTCAGGCTTATATATTTTAACATTCTGAATCTTAAACACATACTTTATATATTTTATGGTCAATGAGAAAAACAAATTGCATCACAAGACTGAGTTGCTACTTGCTTCTCTTAATATATGTTTTTCTGGTAGATATTAAGAGAAAGCTTAACTTGTAAACTGAAAGGCTCATAATTAATTTTGGTCATACAGTACATTAACTGCTTTAGTCAGACAGAAAGTTGTGATCCTACCATTAAAAATGTAGGAAGATAAATATGAGCATTTAACTATAAAACCAATATTGGAATGCTGAGTTTACAAATAAGCCCACAAATTTTTATACTTTGTTACTAATATTGACCCTCTTTTAAATGTGAAAATTAGGTTTTTAAATGGAAGCTGACCAGTTGGTTCAATATGTGAAAGAATATTTAAGAAACAAACAAACAAAAAAAATCCTTTGAAAGTTCTTTTAGAGATGGTTAGAAGTGCCGTGGTATTAATAACAGATCCACCTAGCTGTATGAGGCCAAGTCATTTTTAAATCTTAGTTCATGAGAAAAACACATAGAAAAGGCATCCTTGTGTATTTTCTAAAACCTGTGATATTGAATTAGCCACAGTAAAGTGAAGTCTGACTTATTTTAAAAATATCTTTTAAGGAACAGTTGGAAACCTGGGTTATTCATCCAGTGGACCTTAATGGCTCTCCTAATTTGCTGTTTAATTGCCAGGACAGATGCAAATGGCTTAACATTTGTTGAGTCTGTTGATGCTTAGGCACGTTTTAAAATGACTATTCAGTCAGCAGCCAATCTCTGCTGAATTTTAGCAAACTGTCAGTGGCAGGTGAGAGCAGCCATCTCTGCCCTAGGAGGGTGAGTGTCCGTGTCACTAATAACTGTCAATGTAGGAAATGGGTTTTTATGTAGAGAATAAGGACTGGTAAGGGCACAGCACAAAACCTGAAGGGGGAAAAAAACACATTTACAACATTAATAAATCTCTGTAATTTGCAGGCCTGGAATTAATTCTCCCTGATGTACAGGTGACAGTTGTGTTCTGCTCTGCACCTGTAGAAGAATGCAGGCAATAATTAGACTTTCCTCTTTCCTCTTCGGAGAGTCACAAAGAGGCAGGACAAATTTAAATTTTTATGATGTGTAGGTGCTGCGAAGGCTGCTGAGAGGTCTGCAGGATTAGTAGAAACTGTGTTTGCTCCCCAGGATCAGACAAGCTGCATTTTGTGACCTGTTCTACTCCTGTGAAGCTCTAGCCTGTGTTAGACGCACAGCATTGAGGAGTTCAAACACCTCAAGTCATATGGATTTGGTAAAGGTCCATGCAAGGAGACAGGTAAAGGAAAAAGCCATCTCGGCTGTCAGCGTTTCTGCCAACCTGTCCATCAAACCCCTCACCTTTTTGCTGCCCGCTTTCACAGTATGCTGGCTATTAGTCCATACAAATTCTTCAAATGGAAACATAAAACAAACATCAAACTGAATGAATTATGCGGCTAGAGCATCAGGGATAGCAAGCGGTAAGTGGTGAGAAAGGACACAGCTTAAACGTATTCTGTGTTGTGTCACTCAACCATCAGACTTTGATTAGAAGACTTAATTTAAAAACACTTCAATAATCCTATTCCCCTGTGCTTTGTGCCTCTACCGTAGCGCTGCGCTCCAAACCTTGCCAGCCCAGCGCCTGGAATCAGTAATCAAACGTGCATCTCTGGCATGCTCTGCAACCAGCGGTCCAGGGTTAATTAGATCATTTTTCATTTTTGTTTTCAAAAGACCCAAAGGCAGTAGTGCACATTACCAGCTAATGATCTGCAAATTTGCAGTTTAAAAAATGAAAGTGTTTTCAAACTCTGAGTGCAAAATGTGTACAAAGTTGGAAATATAAAATGCCTTCCCCGCCCTCTCCCGCAGTCTCTCAGCAGACTTGTTTCTGTGTAAGCCTTTGGGCTCTACGCTCGAGAATTGCTTACCTGGGTTTCAAATGGAACTATTGGGCAGGCAGAAAGGGAGAGTGGCACAAAAGCAGCTGCAAACAGTGAGCATTACACTTTCCTTTTACTTTTCCTTTACTTTTTTTCCTTTTACTTTTCCTTTTTATCCTGTGGTGGATTTGCCTATTTGCTGACTCACAGCTAAGCCAAATCTAGTGTAGTTGCAAAATTTAACTTCACGTGGCTCAGCACACAAAGTGCCTTTTCCCCATATACATACACACAGTTTGGAAGCCAGGATTGGTTTAAAAAAGTGTTTTGCTGCAATACAACTTCTTTGAATTATTTAAATTCTTTGAATATAGCAAAAACTGTGCCTCTTTATGCACACTTAGTTTCCCCTTATACTAAAAACCTTAGGGTGCCTTAAATGATACTCAACACAAATCATTGATCAGCTGCTGTGCTCCCTGATCAGCGCTGCTTTCTGGTAGTTAGTGCTGTATGACACCTCCACCAAGGATTGCTCCCAGCCCAAGCCTTCTTGCCCACTGTTCTGTCACCTCACCTAGCTCACCTACCTGAGCATCTCAGTTTTTAATGTATTCAGTCTCCTACTATGCCTCGGAGCGAGAAGAAATCTATTCCTCCCTCTTTAGCAAGGAGCAGTTGGAGCACTAAGGGCAAGGACTGCAGACCGGTGGCTGCAGAGAAGCAAGGAGCTGAAAGCCCAGGTGCTGGGGCCCTGCAAGGCAATCATGAGGTGCTTCTACCCTTCTCCACTGCAGTCTTTTCTGAGAATTAGGACAATCAGCAGATGCTGCTGTTTGTTGACAGGCTGTTACTGTGTGATCATGTTGATCATTTAGTCCGATGCTTCATTTAAATGTACCATTGGGCTTCATTGCGCCAAGTCTTTGGTCCAGGGCATGTTTAAAATCAAAACAAAGAGAATGCAGTTTTGAATTTTAAATTGCTAGTGGTGCAGAATCCACCTGCAAATCCCCTCTTGTATTTAACAGACTGCAGCTCTACGGGTGCAAGCAAAGGAGCACGTTTCAAAATGGAGGATCTTCTCCGGAAAGCCCTGTCACTTGATTAGTATTAAAATAGAATGTTAACTTTAGCATTTCATCTGTTTTCAACTGTCATGATAAGAAATGGGGCGAGAAACAGTCTTTTAGTTTGGCCTCAGTTGTACGTTTTTGGGCTTGAGAGGTCAGTAAACAGCAGAACACATTTGTCTACCTCACAAGGCAACCACATGCTCCAGCCTTAATTATAGCTTCTAATGAGCTCCAGACAGGCTGCAGTGACACACCGGTTGCCACCGAGGATGGAGGCAGCGACTGATACATATAGACGTATTCACGTGTTTGCTGTTCATGCTGTCGCCCATTGACGTTGTCTGTGCTTCCAAGTCCCAAGCAGAACAAATTATGATTTAATCTGCAGATTAAATTCTTCAGTTTTTATTTTCCCTTTTGATTGCGGGCTTTAATTCAGAAATGGGCTTATTTTTTTCCAGTAGTCTTGTTAACAGTTCAAAAAAAAACATAATAAAAATTTTGACACTCCTTTAGGTACCTCTTTGAGGCTCCATTATATTTATTTCTACCAGGTATTGCTCATGCCATGAAGAGCCTGTTGGTTTTTGCTGACATACTCATGTCATGTAAATTTGACATATGACCTATGTTCATATTTTAATAGTTTAAAATCGCTGCCTCCTTGGCTGTTGAGATTGCCCACTAATTAGAACCTGCTCCAGATGCTTTCCTGTAAAGGCCTGAGCAAATTCCATCACTTTGCATTCTGTTATTAGATAATGCATTTTTATATAGTTCTCCATCAGAGCCCTCTCTCTCAGGCAAAGGTAGCCAGGTGTTCAGGAATGCACAAAATGATCCATTGGTTTGACAGCTTCAAAAAGAGATAATTTAGCAGAAACTTGAGGGGAGCTGCCTGTATTTTCAGTAAATGAAACTTGGCCAAAACCTCCCTGCTACTTCCAACAGACATTCAATAGGCACTTCAGTAGTTTCAGGACATCTGGCTTTAAATTGCATGTAAAAACTGTGGCATTAATGGAAGTCTACATAATAGCCTTGATAAGGGCACTGACTTATTAAAATAGCAGTGCGTATATGAGATTTGAACCGAAAGGTCAAATACTTTCAGAAGAGCCTTAAGTGATTAAGAGAGTTGTGCTGATTGTTACCATGTTTTAAGAAGACTGTTTTAGGAAGAAAAATTATGAAATATCTACACTTTTGTCCATACAATGTTCTATATAAGGAACACATATTTTAGAGAAGCTAATCTAAAAGTTTTCTGCTGTTTCCGTGATATTTCATATAGAGAAGACAAAATTGACTCAATACTTTACATCGAAATGTCACAATATTCTGTAGCATCAAAGCCATCTGGAAGAGCACTGCATGTGGCATCTGTGCTAAACTAACTCTTGTTTTGTGCTAACTCGTCTCTAGGTAGGCTTTCCTCCTTTCCTATTTTGGTTGTTCCCTGCAAATTATATTTAAGTCACGTGGCCAATTCGCATCAGCCTCAAATGACTGAAGCTGTAATTATGTTTTGTTATATACGGCAATTGTGTCTGGTAGTCACAGTCAGACTTGGTTCCCTGTTGCGTGATGTAACAAACACGGAATAAAAGATAGCCCTCTTGCTAAACTGCCTGAAATGTAATTAAGATGAAGCATAAAAAGGAGAAGCAACAAACATTAGAAATGTACAGAGCAGAGGAGATGATGGCAACCATAATAAGAAAGATCACGTAGATGTCATAAATATGATCTCCTGTACAATAAGGCCTACTTAGTTGTTCTGACTAGCAATTTAAAGCCAAACAAATCACAGCACTCAAATCTTGTGTGTGAATAAAACAGAACAGAGAGGATTGAATTTGAGAAGGTTTTTGAACAGCACTATACTAGGTATATGTCTTTGGGATTGTTCATGTTTCTGCTTTTCTAATTAAAACCATGCTTAATAAAAGATAATCAAAAGTGAGACTCAAATCAGTATATAAATCTCCACATCTTGGCAGAAATGTCACATTTGTGCCCCAGCTCTTCAGGCTTATTCAGAATGAGCTTCTTACATGAATAAACTATTCATCAGTATGAGAAAGTATGACTGTGGTTTATGGAGACCACTCCAGCACATGAGCACAAAGGACTGATCCAAGACTGAAGGCTGAAAATGAAACAAATCATTAAATCATTTAGGGTCAGATTTTGAAAAGCAGTTAGGAGCCCAATGCCAAAATCTAACTTATTTTCTTTGGAAGTAATTCTTCATTCCAGTAGAGACTTTTGAAAGACCCATTTGTCTGTCGCTTTTTTATGAATAGACTATTTCACCTCCCAGAGCATTATCTAGCACTTTCTTCATTTTAATTTAGAAGGATGGTAGAGTTAGTGCCTTTCAAGCAGGAAACAATCTTTGATTATGAAGTCATTTTACACTAAGGTCTACTTTTTGTGCTGTCTTTATTTCATTTTATTATTTCTATTTGATAACACGCACCGCACTTAAATGGTCCTCTCCCAGCAGAATACCTGAACCTTTCAGATATTCCTAGCAGTAGACCTCGCTTCCGTTGATATGAAACCACTGACTGTAGACTGGCCCTCAAAATGCAGCTCTGTGTGTTCTTTTCCCTATTCTAGATGAAGCTGCAATTCAGAGAAAGCTCTCCGTAGTTTCCATGTAATCCATGGCATAAAGTCGCACTAGCTTTAGCTGAATTTTGCATGGATGTGATAACCTCACCGAGGTCTCCAGGAGCAGATTGCAAGCACGGAGAGGCACCACCTCTCTTGTGCAGCACGTCGCTCTCAAGAGCGATGCCTTAGGCAAAGCGGCATAGGGAACCGTCGTCCTGCATCTCATCTCATCTGACACAGCACAAAGGCAGAGCTGAAAAACAGTCTTTATTTATCTGGCTCTAATCCTGACAAGTCTATTATTAATAGGAAATAACAGAAGAATAATACAGACAGAATTTAGTCAGAGAGTTATTCTTTATATGCCAGATTTTACTCATGAATGTGTGCTTCTTTTCTCGGATAGATAAAAAGCACCCATTCTTTTCTAGAATATCCCAATCTTATTTTTCAGATAAACAGACCAGTACTACCAACATTTCATTACTGTTCACAGTTGGCACTCTGTAATTCTATGTAATTTTAATTAAAGAAGAATTCTGAGACAGTCTCCCCCTGTGCTACCTCCAAGCATACAATTAACTGTGTACAGTTTCTGCTGGGAATAGTCACACAGTGATTCCAGATTAATAATTTATTATTGCTTCCATATTTGTATCAAAAAAAAAAAAAAGCCAATGATGCATAGACTATGAACAAACCATCCACTGAAAGGTGTGTATGAATTTGTAGAGACTTTTTCCACAGTGCACATTTTAAACCTTGGGAGCTCATAATTCTGTCCTATGGAAAATGAAGATAAATAATCTCCTTAGCTTTACACTCTGAAAATTGTGTGTTGGAAAGCTGTGTGCTTGAGCGAGGAAAGCCGTATAAGCAATTTCATGCACAACCTTTCATCATCCATTTGGTCTTGAATAAACGATTGTCCTAGTACTCTCAATATTAAATATGCAGTTTCTGATCCTGATCTGGCATTTTCTTTAAATTAGAATCAATATCAAAATAATAATAGCAGGTGTCTTTCTACAGACAAACACACCTGTGCTGTTCTTTCTTACCGAATATAAAAAGAGAGGTTTTAGCCTAGCTGCCCTCACCTAGTTGTCCTCACAGCGCTTCAGAAATGTTGCAAAACTGTTACAGAGAGCTTCCCTGAAAGTGCCTGAACTAAGAGTCCTCCAAACCAAAGGAGTAAACAATACATCTGAGGTCCTTTCTCACACTGAAGTGGATATTCAAGGGAAGTCACTTGAATACCTCCACGCTGATAAAGAAAACTTCTTCAAAACGGAATATTGAGCAAAGTTCCCGACTGTGGCAGGCAGTGGAAAGTGCTCAGATATCTCGTAAATTAGATCAAAATAGAAATGAATCCAGACATAAAATGGAAGTTTAAAGTTAACCTGTCAGCAGATTTATTTCCACTCCAACGAAAAGATTCCTTCCTGAGGAACTGACAGCAGGGGAGGACTTTGGGAGGATTCTTGCTCACAAGGAGCATTGGACCCGCTTGCACCCCACTTAGGCGTTCAGCATCTTGTCAAGAGTAGATGCATTCATTTGCAAATCCAACTCTTTAGCGAACCTCACAAATAAATGACTTTACTAAAAAGTACCAAAAAAGCAGAATGTCACGTGTCTTATTTTGAGTCTGAGAGAACAGTGGAGCTTCTAGAAAGATTTTTAAAAGGATGCTGAGAGATACTTAAGATTTTTTTTTAAGATACTTTTTTTTAAAAAAAAAGTTTTGGTGTTTGCTTCAATGCTGGGCAAGGGCTTGGAAGCATCTTTGGAGGCAGCGATTTTTGCAGGTAGAGCACAGCACCTTTCACAACTTAGTAAAGTAAGAAGCACCCACTCTCCTTAAACTTCAAGCCACCCTGGTTACAAAATAATACCCACTTGAGGTCGAAATGTTAAACAGCTTCAGAGTTGTTTATCCAACCTTTTTATAGAGTAACAATCATAGTGGATCGAAGAGCACATCAACAGCTTACATAGGAGGACAAATCTTATTGAGCTTAATTAAGTGAAAAGCCTTTAGCTGTATGCACAGAGATGGGCTGAGCTTTCCAGAAGCGTTGAGGCTTTGCCTAAATGAGGTCACACTGACATTAGTAGCTATTTTATGTCAAATTCAGCAGAACAGAATCAGACCGCTGACCCGTTGAGTTTGAGCAATCATGTTTCCTTTTCATTTTTTTCTACCTTTTTTTGAGGCCAACAAGTGTTTCGAAAATATGAACTTCAGTTACAAACAAGCTAGCAAGGACACCGATGCCCCAAACCCTCATTTCTTTATTTAATGAATGTTGCTTGAGAAACACTTCAAGAAAATAACCCTACTAAAAAAATATTAAAATATTGCATGTATGCTTTATGATGCTTTCTTGAGATAAAACGTGTCTTAATATTTTTTCCAGACATTCGGGACAGTGGGGGACCTAAGCCTGTGATGGTGTATATTCACGGAGGGTCCTACATGGAAGGCACTGGAAATTTATATGATGGCAGTGTGCTAGCAAGTTATGGGAATGTGATAGTCATCACAGTCAACTATCGCCTTGGGGTACTTGGTAAGAAGCCTTCAGCTTTCCCTTAATCCCTGCTGTCTGCAATGCAATTGATGTTACACGTGAGAATGTATTTTTTAAAAACGGATTTTTTTTTTCTTTTCTATTTGGGTTTTCGTTGTTTTACAGATCTGTTTTGTTAAATGAAAGGTTTTCATTGGGGATGAGCTGTAAATGCGTTGCGAGCGTTATTTGGCAGAGCCTGCTGTTCTGCGCCACATGTAGTGATAGGAAGCAGGTGTTCCCACTGCTGGGCTGTCGAGACAGAAGGTTTCTTTTCTCTGTGAATAACAGGGTGACGCTTTACTTCAGAGATAGGTAAATTAGGTTTAATGTTAACTCACAGATAATAGGGTTTTATGTTGTGTAGAAGTCGATTGTTTTCTGAATTACCATGATTTGCCATACTGCAAGAAAGCAAAAAAGGTTTTGACAAAATTTAGGAGTTGTAGTTTTTACATGTTTTGAGTTTCATTGTTGTTTTAGACAGTGTTACAGGTACAATTCAAATACCTCAGGTATCTGTTTTGTAGGCCAAATTAGAGCACGAATGGTTGTCGCTGATTGGTTTAGCTTCGTTGAAGAGCATATGCTGATGCCGTTGGTAGACTTGTGCGGGATCTGGTAGCTGGTATTTCCAAAAAGATTACGCTTGCTATTTGTTCAGTGTAGTCATTTTGTGATATGTTTGACAGCTCTCGAGACAATGATACACTTGTTTTCATTTTCTTCCGTGAATTCTGCTGAAACGTTGCCTGCTAAAACTCATGAAAGCAGGAATTCAATGCTAGAATATTGTGAATTTCAGTACAATGCTTCAGAATACTTACATGGGCATCATGGCATCACCCGTAATGTATAAAGTGCCTGGTAAAGCGGTTGTCGTTCTCAGCACTGAGTCGGTTCTGAAGACCAGGGATCTTGTTTCCAATTTGTGGGCATTAGCAATGGTTGGTACTTTGGTGTTCTTATGTACAGTCATGCTAGTTCAGCAACGCTGTTTCTCTGTGTTTTGAATCCAGTCAGCATGATCCTCGAATTCGCTGGTTCTGGTTTGCTCGTCTGAGTAACTTGCATCTCCTTTTGTTTTTATTAAAAATTCCAAAACTTGGGCACCATGAATTTGACTTTCTGTTAGAATGGTTTTGATTTAAATGTTGAGATTTACTCTGTTATGGTTGTGTTTTACTTGGGGCTGAATCTTTTCCAAAGCGATCATAACTATGTTTGCTGGAGATTATCTTGTTGGGGTTTATTTGGAATTTTCATTTATGTTGTACTTCTTTCAGCAAGGAAATCCTGGTATTTTGTATGTTTTTCTCCCTCCTCCTGTCTTCCCATTTATGCATTTATGCAGTGATCTCAAGTCCTAAGCACGTGTTAGTGCAGCATTTAATAATATGTGCCTCTAATCAATGTTTTTTTACTATTTTATTTTTTATTTTGTCCAGCAATACAGTATCCCTTGTCTGAAAACATGGTTTATGTGTGTAAATTATTAAGGCTAATTCCAATATGTGCTTGTAGTTGCAATGTCTGGAAGTGCAAGTTGCTTGAAAGATGAAAATTAATTCACCTTGGTTAATGATAATGGCGTTTTCACTTGTAATTTTAGCACTGATCCCTTAGGTAACCAACCAGCAACATCTTACTGAGCTTGGGAGTGTTTTATTTGCACTCATCGTTTTGTGGTCCTTGGGCTGCATGGTCTTTACAGAACCTCAAGGGGCAAAGAACTGATTTTCATTTGAGTGGGAGCTATCACTCCTCGCCGTCACGTTAGATGTGGTTGTGCAAACACAGAGCCAAGACACTCTCAGCATCCTCTGCTTGAGCCACATCGCATGGGGTGAGAAGTTGTGCTTCCCTGGCTGTGCTGGTGGGAGATGGAGATCTTCTCACTTTACTGCTGTGCAAAATGCCTGAGTGTATAGGGACACATAATATAGGGATTTTTTTTTCCATGTGAGAAGAGGTAAGGGACAAACTAAAGTTCTTCTCACTTTTCCGCGACCTTTGTTGCTCTGGGTTTCTTGCATCCGTCTCTGTGGATATATATCTTCATATGGGCAATCTGTGCCCATCGTAAGACTGCTGCCACTGTTTTACCACAATTCACACTGAAATTTCTTAACAAGGAGGCCAGTTAAATAATTGTTCAGAGATTCAAAAGGAACATTTTTCATCCAGACCATTAGTATGGGGAGCAAGAATGTACTGTGATACTCTGCAGTGCTGTTCTAAGCCTGCAGTGAAAGGGGTTTTAGTGCAATGGAAGTTGCTTTCCTTTTTATTCCGAGCTGAGACACTTTTTGGCCTACAGATCTGCTGTTATAACTCTAGCTGAGGACCTACATTTTATGGAGATACCTGGCTTCTATGTAAAATGTTAGAAATCGCTAAAAAGTGAAATCTTTTTGATAAAGAGAAAGCAAAGATGAAAATGCAAGAAGTATGGAGAGATTGCACATAAAACAAGTGTTTTTTTAAAAAAGTGGATTTCTAAGCACAATTTTATCTTTGTCAGAAACGGACAAGAGAGGAAAATACATTGAAATGATAAATGAGTCAGAAATATTTTGAAGTAGCTGCCCATTTCAGGAGCCTCATTCCACTGTAATTGACCAGCAGGTCTGTTTTGTTCTGTTTTGATATGTTTTCTTCTACTTCTAAGTAGAATGAAATAGAATCACAACTTTTTTTTTTTTTAGTTCTTTCAAATTATATCTGATTTTTTCAACATTGATCTGATTTGTCAAAATTTTGTATACTTCCCATTAGATTTTATTTTATTTTTTCTTTCGTCTTGCTCTTCTTATTTTGCCGTGGTGGTTATATTTTTTTTTATACTGAAATGTTAAACAGAGGTATTTTGCTATATTAGTGTCCCATATCACTTAAGCATTTTATAATTCCTTATTCTGCAACCCGAGGCTGAGCTGTATTTCCTCCTGGGAATAGGCCTTTCCCTTTTAACAGGGCTAACCATCAGCCATAATGTCATAGGGACTATTCAGTTTAAGTTACAGTGGCATAAGAAAGTTTAAGTTATTTAGACATCAAAGGAGATAAAAAATATAGTAAGATTCTCTTTTTTCCCCTATATTGCTTAGACTTTGGAGTTTTCTGTTATAGTTCACAATTTAATATCCAGTAAAACTGGGGAAATGTTTGATCATTAGCGTCCATGACAAGCACATCCATTATCTTTTTATGAAGCCTTAAAGGTATTGCCAGGAGATGGCATTTTATTCTGGCTTTGCTGCACCACCAAAGGGTCTCTGATGAACCTTCTTCTATTCTCCATTTCATAATATGTTTGAGTAAAAATGATAGATGAACATAAGATTATATATTATTGCCTAATTAAAAGTACATTAGATTGAAAGTAAAGATGGGAAATTAATAGCAAAACACATCAAAATGCTGCAGTCAGAAATCATTCATTTAAGCTTTCCGAACTGGGAGAGCATGCAGGGAATATAATTCATAAACACTCCTGGGGACCCTTGGCAGCTACATAACCAGTCTCCCTTAGATGTATAAATATTAAGTTGCT